AATTGGCCTAGTGAGATTAATATCTGTCTGAACTCTACCCATTGACCTTACAGGCACGAGTAGATATGCGGCTGTGAAAAGCCATGTTGCATGGAGCATGCAAGGTCATAGGTTGTCTGTGCGCTCATGAATGATTCTTTCAAGCAAAGAATTGATGAATCATTCGCATGTCTAACATATCAGCATTCATGAATGTACATGAACTAGTGAAACTATGTGATATTTCTCAATATACGAGACTGTAAACAGCATTTCTTCATCTCGGTTTGTCCGTGAAACCGATTCATTTGTACCAAAAACGCCATGAGATAACGAAAGCAACAGCACGTCCATGACAATACACTGATCGCAATGCATAGTTAGGCAACAGCCGTTTTCCTCTAACGGTACAGCAGGTCCCCTGACAAAGAGGTTTACTCAGACCCCCTCCCCTTGAATTTTTTCACCGTCAAATAATGTGGAAAGAAAACCGATAATCAATTGTATCAGGTGAGTAATAAGTAAGAGTGATTTTTGTGAAACAGAGTGCGTCTGTCATTCACTCAGGACTACTACAATTCAGGGTCGATGAATTTTGTAACTGACTTACCAGAATGTCGAAATTCGGAAGTAATGCATTCTCCAAGCTCAGATCATCGGTGCACAATGAAGGATTCAGATCGACAAGCTCCCTGATACACGCTTTCATCAAATCCAAGATACACGATTGGCAAATCAACATGTTCGGTGTCATTTTAACCTGCACGAAGGTGAGAGAATAAATCTAGTTTACTAAACTACAATAATGATGATGATGAAGATGATTATAAAATACAAAAACGTCTTTTGTCGTGTCTTGTCGTTTTCTACAACCGAAAATTTTATAAATTTAATTTTATAATAATTATTATTATAATTATATATTAATAATAATAATAAATTATATTATTATTATAATTTTTTATTTTACGAAGTTCGTGATACCTATCCTACGCTCTATATATTGCTCATTCTAAATTGTCTTCTAATCACTTTTTTCTTAAACAGAAAGAACCGCATTGGGGAAGGTTACCTGGTAGTGCAATCACCTTGATCCTAGTTGTGAACATGAAGAACATGTGTCAGGGCCGAGTCATACGTGAGTAGTCGTCTATGAGTGAAACCAGCAGAACACCGGCTTGCGAACAAGCATGACAGGAATGCAACAAATAAAATAATATGAATAAGGGGAGGGGTTGAGGTCTAGAAGAGAACGACGCGAAAAACAAACGACTACGGGAAACCAAAAGAACAGTAACAATTTATTTTTACGTCAAACTTTTTGAGACTTTTGTGCGTTTGTTTGTCATTTTAATGGAACACCGGATTTCAGCAGACAAACTATACAGTATTCACGCTACTGACTCCTATTCTAGGCCGTATCTCTCAGCATCTCTGACCAACAACAATCCTCATCCCTTGGGCCAAAACTTGGAAGGCAGGCTAAACCAACTGAAGGCAATGCTGAAGCTAACCTCCTACCCCTATGCTAGGTTACGGTCTACGGACCGTGACGTTTCTTCGTGGCCTAACAAGCATGGAGCACAGAGAACTTTCCTGGAAAACGGTATCCTTTAGAGTTGCAGTAGCACGATTCGAGGATTATCCAGTGAGCCACATGGTAATCACCGTCTACGCCCCGACTCTGCCATCTGCCAACAACGTCAGGGATGAGTTCTATGTCAGCCTTCAATCGCTTGTCAATAAAGTACCCAAACGGGATACACTTGCCGTGGTAGGGGGCTGGAACTCTCGAGAAGACCACAAGAGGAGGCCATGAAGCACATCATAGAGAGGATTGGTCTGTCTGGTCGGTGACAGACAACTCAGCTTCGTCGATTATAATTGACTGTTTATATCCAACGCGGTTTCAACATCCAAAAAGCATTTTCCGATGTGGTACATCAACGACGGGCAAACAACACACCAAATAGATTACTTTCTCATCTATTCACGACAGGTTTCTTCGGCTGAAGACTGCGGACCCCGTGCGGTAATAAAAGTGGATCTGGTCACGTGCTAATTCACGCAAAAGTTGGACTCCATCTAACAAATTACAGGAACAGCGTAACCTCAAAACGCATAAATAGGCTTCCACTGGAGAACACAGAGAAATGCCAGGCACTCAGGGGCATGATAACTGCACCATTGTTGAATTGTCAATACGCAAGGGAGCACATAGAGTTAGGCTGAAACTCAGTGCACGAAGCTGAATTCGTCCGTACAATAAGCTACACTACACAAACTCCGTACTGCGTCACCTGAAGGATTGGATATCCGACCACACCATCCAGTTAGCTACTGAGGCCAAAGAGGCACGCCTAGCACAACCCACTGTTTATCGCGATCTTAGTATATATATATATATATATATATATATATATATATATATA